TTTTTAAGATCTTTTAGACCCCATTAAAAAGCAGGGCGACCTAATCGACGGACTGATGAGATATTCTTTCAAAGTTGTACAACTACCTTGTTTTTCTTAGAGGTGGTACCACTCAGTCGGAGATAAAAGGTGCAGGGCTCATCATCAAGTACATCAAGATGGAGAACGTTTTTTGCATTAGAAGTCAAATAAAACACAGGCGCGACATACAGCGGAGAACTGTGCAGAGAAATCACTCCACGTGTCAAACAGAAGGGGGATGAGTAGCAAACGGACCACTTAAAGCACTGCTATGTTAAGCTAGCTGTTAGGCTAAGCTAGCTGCTATCCTACTTCCATCTCAACATCTAACGCGACACACAGTTGGTAGAGGACCACTACTGTGTTTCTAAAAGATTGTGGTTTGAAAACGTTCTGGCTAAATGTGGGGAGATTGTTGTCACTTCAAACACAGCCATTAATTTATGGAGAATTGAGAGCAAACTCCACAAGGACAGCAGGAAGAGTCGCTAGTTCAACATCTTCCACACGGTAGTTTGGTGTTTAAAAAAACGTTTACAATTAAACAACAGTGTCTAAAATACACACTTTCTAAAGTGGCTACTCATTATTTTAAAGATTTAGTCTTTAGAAGAAAAATAAACATTGTAACAACACAATCTCAAAAAAGAACCAAAAAAGAGCCGGCTGCAAGGCAATAACACTGGAGACACCCTCTTTGTCTCCATCGCATTACCACCAACAAGCTCTTAATGGATTAAACCACTGAGTTCCACGTAGAGCAAGGGGACGTCATTCTCTTCCAACAAAATAAAATATAAATATAACTCTGACCAAAAGAGCTGGAAATATAACCCCATAGAATGGATCATTCTGCAAAGAACTTTGCTGTTGGATTGATTATAATCCCTACACTCTAAAGATGGGATTGCCGAATTCAACAAATTTGCAGATGTGTCATTTTCATGAGCACCCAGGACATATTTAGATTACACAGTAGCTAAAAAAGTAGCTACATTTTAGTGCCGTAACAGTAAGTAGGTAGTGAGCTGAGTAGAGAGTGGAATCTCTTCTTGCGTTAAGCCACATTCCTCTTCTCCATGATCACTAATCGTATTTTCTAAGGCTGACGCAACACAGAACTCGCTCTGTGCGCATCCCACGCCCCGCGTTTCACTCGGCTTCACCCTTTAAACTCATCACCCGCAATTATGCGAGAGATTTTATGGTTGACTCTGCATTCATCCTGGTTTTATATGTACTCATTTAAACTCAAATGCAAAAAAACCCACTGCTAAATATATACATATGTCTTTCTATTTATCTGTATCGCTATCTATCTAATGGGATATACCTATGTCCAATATAGCATAGTGTTTTGTTTGTTTCTACTTTTCTTGCTCTTTTAGCTATAGGCATATAATAGTAAATATTAGACGATAAAACACCGGATTTACTGTGTTTGTAGAGAATGCATTGTGCACCTGGACAGAAAAGGAGATGACAATAAACAGATGGCAACAGTGGTCTTTTGGGGGCTGCTTTTCAAATGCACTCTGTGTTATTTGTTGCCGTAAAATCTTTATCTAATATTTTAGAATTTGTGGGCAACTCTGTGTTGTTTGATCAATTATTCTGGTTCGGTGCCTTTCATGTTGTATTCTTACAAAAACTCTGCGGGGACGCTTTGATTTATTGTGTTCCTGTGCTTCGACGTCGCTTTGACTCGTTATTTTTTGTTTTCCATGCAAATATGTGCTTTTCCTCGGCACCTGGCGGCCATCATAAATATCTCCACACCTAAACCCAAACCATATTAATATCAAGACGGACCCTCAAAACCACACTAGTTTTCACAATACGTGCCACAAAACTGTATTTATGTGTTTTAAGTCATTTTTCGCACCTTAAAATACTTGCCGCGATTTTTGTTTGGCTCGTCATACAAGACACCTTAACATTTGCACTCGCACTGTGGATTCTGTCATCCACAGCTGTTGACTAACACGATTCGAGAATAACAACAGCCTTGAGGTGTTTACGGTGTAGTGTCTTCAATTATCAGGAGAGCTACCTGCCAGGTTGCGTCTAATTCCTTCCAAGGCAAGAGTGTACACTAACAAGTGTGTTTATTCCAGTCAACTGGTTTTCTGCCCGGGGGGAAAGGACAAACTTAACAGTAAGTTCAACTGTTGTTAATGGGCTTTATTTATCTCGACATTTATATAACTGATGCTGGATTGTTTCTTCCACTTATCCATTATATAAGGTGGTAAGGAGTGTAGTTGCAATGTCCCACTTTTTAGTATTCTAGTCGGCTATCATGATGCCTGCAGGCTCTGGGTTTTGTGAACTTTAAGAAATCTTTTCTGTCCTTCAACACATAATCAGTTCCTGTGAACATGAGGCCAGAGGGGGTATGTGCGATGAAGTGAGCAAAAAACTGAGGAATCAAAGTCTGATATTGCACTTCCCATTTACATTTCAGGTATCCTATTTTGATCTCCACTAAACCCTGAGACATATGTTGACTTTGTTCATCAAATCTCTGCCAAACCTGTATTGAATGCAAAGCCTCCGGAAGAAGCACATGTCTCTGTCAGGCTCCTGTGCATGTGCATACCAGACCATACTAGATCATACCAGACCCTGCATCACAGCAAATGTAAATCAAATGTAATCAAATTAAAAAGCCAACTTTAATAATGTTCCAAATATTTCTCTGTGCCAATGTAAGACTATTGTATTATACTGCTTTAATGTAACACTAAGTTCCTACGTGTCAAAATACTTACAAATAAAGATAATTATTTGGTATAATTATGCTTTTATTAGTTGCGGTGAGACACTGACAGTTCACGGGCCAAATCCAAAAAAGTCCTTACTAAAAGTTATCGGTTTCATGTTTTTAAAACGCATAAAGCAACCCGAGTAGCAGGAATTTCAATGTGTAGTATTGTGCCTCACACTGTAATAATGCGATCCTGTTCCATGGATGCATTTGTTCAGTGACATATGAAAATGCTTTTAGTTGACTTTCTGAGTAGCGGTTTGAACAGGTACGATTTGGGATTGGCAGAACGTACTAATAGCAAATATGTAAAGTGTGCCCATCTCTTTCACATAGAAACTGCTGGCACCGCCACCCGCGAAGTGTGTGGGCATTCTGAGAGAGACGTCATATGGCAAATTGGTCATTTCAGGTCTTATTTGCTCAATGGTTTGCATTTAAAGAAGCATTTACGGTCATGTGGATCCATAACAACAGATTAGTCTGTATTGCCTATATTTTGTTTTTGCTTCCTCATTTAAGGGCCCTCCAATAATAGTCATATGTTTTCTTTGGTCTTTCTGAATTTCTGAGCTGCGTCTTTACAGAAATAGTGCACGGATTTTGTGTATGTTTTATTCTACCACAGAACTTGGATGCTATCAAATTGTCAGTGAAATTAAAATGGTTTCCATTTTCCAATGTGATCACCTATTTATGAAACCTTACAAACAGTCCATTTGTCCAATCACCGTAGGGACCAAGTTCCATTTCTACAATATTGGCTCATCAGATACGGCACCATCAGTTAAGGTCTGCTGTACTCCAACAGGAGAGTCATCGGTTTATAGATTTACTGTTTTGTTCCCCACTTGAGATGCTTGGATTACAACAGCTATTCTGCTATTGAATTATCTTAGATAGAAAAGAGAAAACAAAGGAAAAAAGGAATATTCATTTTTCCATTTCTGTTAATCAATGAAGGACACTAAATACACTGTCAGTCATAAAAGTGACCTTTTGGGTTACGACCTGTGCCTTTTTTGAAAGTTTGGTAAATGAACAACATGGCAGCCAAGTACATTTAAATAAAGTAGCTGCTTGAGCAGCTACTTCACTTCTATTGCATTTAAATCAAATTATATTAAAAGCTGTCCCTCAGTTCCTTTTTGCAAAACCTTTTTTTTTTAGTTCAAATCACAGCCTGAGATGACAGAACCATTTTGTTTTGAAAACGGGAGCTCTGGGAGCAAAGCAATCATTTATGTCCATCAAATAAAACGTCTTCCATTTTAACAACATTACGTTCATTTTTCCTTTGCTGTAAAATTATATTTCTTTAAAAGTGTTACAGTACATCTATAACCAAATATGCCAAAATATATATGTAAACAACGAATAATGTGTGATCTGCACATAATGTAATAATTAACTGAAGTAAACATACTAGTTACCGTAAGAACGGTTTCTCATTATAACATCACTTGACCTATTGTGACAAGTGAAAACCATATACCACATATACTGTGGTTCCCCCACGAACCGTAGTTTTCTTTTTGGCAAAAAGGGCGAGGAGCATCTTAAACATGTGACACACGACACGTTCACTGACCACTCCTTAAAGGGCTCGATATAGTGTCATATGTTGTAGAAAGATTACATCTGATCAGCGTTGACAGTAAATCAAGTATCATTCCATATTTAATCAAATCTTTGATTCAAGATTCTTTTTCAGTATTATTCAGAGTGTTAAGAAAGGTTCATGCGTTATATGTATACGTTATGCTGCGGTCTATAATTATGTACACACCACTACAATTATCATAAAGTATGTATAATACTAATTAAAGAAAGCCTACAACAGCCTACAATAACAATATCCGACTTTCTTGTTTCCCGTCCAACACTAATGATAATAATCATTAGTGAAATAATGTCTATAAATAATGATTGGTATAATAAACTAATCATTGTGAATCAATAGATGGTCTACTCACTAAAATCTCTTGTCTCATTTATCCCCTGAGCATCAAAGAACTACAATGTTTTTAATAATTCATGCAGCACTTATTTGTGAAGTTCTTCAAGACTTCTTGAAAACTGGCAAACAAAATCCTATTATAACAATAGTTCAATTGTCTAAAACCCTTGTAGCATTTGGTCTGAACCCGATGGCAAAAGTACTAATAATTGTCCCTAGAATGGGAAATGGTACAAACAAGCCTTGCTCTTCTTATTAAATATAGCCTTTTAATGAGAAATAGATTATTATATGAAACATTCATTTGAAATAAGCTGATGTAAGGATGTCAACAGAACAGCAAAAAATTACATAGGCAAGGTATTAGGTGTAAAAATCTTCAGACATATCCATGGATACATGTAAGCAACACTGTGGTAGCATAATGCCATACAAGTAGATGTGCTTGTTTTATGGACCTTGCGGTGGCTCAAAACTAAATTGTAAATGTACAGAATGCTTTGACAATATAAAAACAGTCATACATTGTCATGAATCTAATTAGATACAGTAGACATGAGTGCCCTGTACTTAGTGCTTATGTAGTCAAATGGAGGGCTTTTTTTTCTTTTTTAAAAGTAGTCTTCGTATTCCCTTTCGATATTGTTATATTGTATAATAATGTTACTGTAGCAAAGGTTGTTACTGTAACAGAGTTAATATTTACAAATACATTGTACAACAGGGGGACAAAAATGTCAACCATAACTTCAAGTCATCCTCTGACCCTCTGTATGGTGCTTGATTTCCCCACATGCACAGACCTCCTGACGGGGGTAGATCGCAGGAGGAGATGAAAAGTGTTTACTAGATCAGCATTACATGGTCTTAAAATTCTGAAGCTAATTCAGTTTCACTCGTCTGTGTAACATCTAAAAGTTTTCTCCAGCTCTAAACGTGTTAAAGGGATAGATAACAGGCACTTAATAATAATAATAACAATAATAATAATAAAGTAACGATTCATTTGGATAGTCCAATGTTAATGCTGAAAGACCAGGTATTCAATTTACTACATGTCTATTGACAGCATCTTGGCATCTTAAAATAATCCATTAGCAGTTACTGTTTGCATGCAAACGTTAGAATGGCAATGCTATGGACCTATTTGCAAAAGCGTAGTCTACCATATTAACATTGGCATGCCAAAAACAAGATCAGAATTTATAACTTGGCCTGATAAACAACAAATCCAAAGAGCTTTGTGACCGACTGCAATTGGTCGCGATCGAATATATTTTAAAGGTATCCTCTGTTTTCGGATGCCCTCTCTCCCCTTCTGCTGCTTTCCTCGAGGCAGTGCTGCCATCCTACGTGAATGTGAAACAATAGCTTGCACCGGTAACTGCTCACTCACTAAATGCACCTTTACCGAGGTCGAGGCATTGATACGACAAAGCAAACAGTAGTGTACTTTGAGATTAATGTGACTACACTGATCTGAGCCTGATGGCCCGAGCCTTAGTCATCCCGAATCAGCCACCGCGTACGCACTAAACTGTACACTGGAAAGTTATTTTGCAGACTACAGAGTCACCTGAAATAGATTTGAGTTGTAGTGAACCATTATAGTTAAACATCTGACTAAATTGGTATTTCTAAAGCGCCTCTGAAGAGTGAGAAGTGCTTATTGAAAGAAGACTGACAACAATAAAATAAACAAAAAAGAATAAACATTTGCCACAGAAAGCGAGAGATTATTCTGTTAGTTACATCAAAAGTTGTGATTGTGGATTTAGTCGCACCTTCATTACACGCCTCTGCTTTCAGCCGACCCCACAAGACGAGTGACATCACAATGTGAAAGGACAACGATTATTTAGAAGAACACAAAATTAAACAAAAAGTTATAAGGGAACTAAATTAAAGCTACAGCAAGAGACCAAAGAAACAAACAAAAACAATAAAACAATCTGAGAAATATAACATTTGTTAGATGTTAGTCTAAATGCTTGCAACTGGGCTGGCAACCTTTACGCTGAGGAAGGATTTTCTAGATTATGGGAGCAATATGCAGCATATGAAATATTTTTAAAGTCTTTTAGTAGTTTTTTTAATGTCCCCAATGGCTCTAACAGCAGGTTGTGTGACATGAGTGACCTTGCCTTTGTGGTTGTTAACAAACATGCAATTGTCTGGATCTACAAAAAACAAACAGCAATAGCAATGTTTCAGCATTGGATTACCCAAATAAAGTGTGACTGACAATACACAGTGGGGTTTTATATTTCAGTTTGATGACGAAGTGTTAAACACAGTTGCAGTTCTGTTGATGTTTCCCAGCAACATGCAAAACAAGGTTAAATTTTATATCTGGAGAGAAAAACAAATCTTTACACGTGGTCATAAAAAGCGTACAGATTAAACGCTGCCAAAAAGGTATTTTAAGCTTTAATATATCCATTTCTTTTTTTTTCTTTTTTTTCCTGTGGCACAACAGAGAAATTTAGTGGCTTTACAACACGATTCTTATCCAACATGGTATGCCTTCCCTTGTCATCTCCCTTTTCGCTGTGCTCTTATCTAAAAACTGAGAGAATAAAATTAAACCGTAAAAATTGAACATTCTTCTAACGTTTTTTTTTTTTTTATGTACGTACTTTTGTGAAACAGGTATGAACTTTATGTCTTACTGTATGTCTACCTCAGGGAAGTGTATGGCTTTAAGTTGTCTTGCAAATGTGCCTGAACGATGAATGCTTACATTTTTCTCTTGGTGCTGAAAAGCTCCACAAATCAGCAGTCACAACATGTACATTTTGCAAAGCTGTACAAAATAGCATTGATTGTTAAATCTTCAGACCACAATATTGCACTCACGCACCAGGAGGTTCTGCCTTGTGAAAAACACAGCTTGAATTCAAACACGGTAAGAAGCGCTCCAAATGCAGGATTTTGCTTTGACTGGAGTCCATCTCAAATGACACATTCAATTGACGAACGGCAATAAGCATCAAGCAAAAAAAAAAAAAAAAAATGTACACGCACATTTGCACACGCGCACGCACACTTACATTCACCCACATATATATGTATATATATAAACAGCTGGCTTTTGTTATTTGACATGACTACCCATTACTGCCCTGCTGTGTGCCTTATGTGTCAGAACTATAACAGAGTGCCTCCTAACTCACAAAGATTTGCTGTGGGTTTAAAATGTAATAAAGAGTCTATACGTAATGTGTTGAAAACTTACTCACTAGGGCTATTTAATCCTTACAATGCATGAACTTTTTTTTTTAATATTTAACGGTCCATTATGTCTGAAATATGTTGCACATTATCTGAAATAAAAGGAAATCTGGTTTGCCCTTGTGTTATATCATTATTCCTTTAAAAACATTTTTCTCAGTAAACAATGGCAGTTTCAGATGTAACCTTTGATCCCTCAGAGTAAAATCAAGGCCTCTTTCAGCAGTACATATATTTTATATTTCATTTTTTTCTCTCTCTTTTTAAGTTCTTTTAGGGAATGAAAGACATGCTGGGACAAATATGGTACAGTCTTTATAGTGGTTCTGTTGATCTTTGTTATCTTATCTGAAATGCTTTTCATCAATGTCTTTTTCCTTTATGTCTTTAAGAATTATGCTTACAAAGTTAATATTACATCAAAAGGCAGAAAAGGTCCAAAAATGAAAAAGAGAAAGACAAATTAAGATCAATTTCCCCTTATAGTTCATTTGTTGGGTGTTCATGTAATTGGGTTCAGCAGAGTTTAGCAGTCAGGTGATCTGATTGTTTTAGAATCTCCGTGCTGTACATGTCCAAGGCGTGATTAACTCGAATCATCTCGCTGTTGTTGAGCTTGAGCCTGTGCTTCAGCATACAAGAGAAGAGGTCCAGCTGGGGTTTGCCAGGCGCAGACGGTGGGGCGAGGCGGTTAATTCGATCCCGAATGTCCAGTAACAGGAGCATAACAGATGAGGATGAGTAGAACTGAGTCCCTTGTGTGTACGACTGGTTGACCTGCTGCACAGCACTGCGGAGCATGTCGGCATTAAAGCGCAGGCTGTAGCCAAACACTTGGATATCGGATATTTTGATGTAGATCTGCCGCTTGTTTGGGTCTCCGAGATCCACTGGGCCCGTGTCATTGCGCAGGCCGGTTGGGATCTTGGCGCGGCTACGCAGGTAGATGTGCACCGTCTCAAAGAAGGTCTTCCACCGGTTGCCCAGCAGGAGAGTCCAGTTGAAGCACTGAGAGTTCTGCAATCGGACCTTTTCCCAGCGCGGGTAACCGTGTTCTCCGAAGGGCATGCTCCAACCTTCCGAGTGACTACCACTAAATGGGTTGACATAAACAAAGAACATGGGGTCAATGCTGCTATTTCGCATTTGGCAGATCTTCATCGATAGGCCGATTATCATGTGGAGGTAGTCCATGCGGTTTTTGTTACTCTTGAGAGTCAGGGACATGCGCTTCCGCCATCGCGGGTCAAAGAAGGTCTCCAGTCGGATCTCGTTGCTGATGAAAGTGGTGTGAATGTACAGTCGCGAATCCATTTTCTGCAACAAGTATTTGAGTTCCAGGTCCTGAAAGTCCAGATCAGTTTCAAAGCTGATGAACTGTTCACTACGTTCTGAGTCCACATTCTGGGGCTCACAGCGACCACGGTACAACTTATAGCCCTTGTTGCAGGAGCCGCATTGTGAGATGTTTGCCAGGCTGCACATGGCACAGCTGTTGTTGCCACCTATGACGCAGGGGATGGGTCGCTGACACAGGGTGACACCTGTGTGGCACACGCACGTCCTTTGGCTCTCCAGGAAGGTCCCCCAAAACCCGTTCTCATTGCAGTAGAGGAAGGACTGAACCCTGTTGAGCCACTGCATCACAGATCTGCAGGGAAAGGAGAAGGAAAAGAAAGAAAGAAAGATAGTAGAACGGTGGTCAGATGTAAAGGTTAAAGTATTTGATATTAAGTATCTATGCGATACATAATGGCTGACTAGTTCTCTAGACCTTATTCATCTGACAATCAAATTTCAAGACCTAGAACATTGATTAGACAGATATTCCTTTTGGCAATATGTTTGGTTTTAATTGTGTTTTATTATCTAATTGCGTAGTAATGAACTTGAAAGCCTGAAGAATGAAGCACATCATAAAGGGAACTTGTGTGTTTTACCGTACCTCTAGTACGCTTTACCTTCTAAGTTGACTTGGCAGACTGAAATGAAGGGAAACCAGTGAATATAAGATAAAGAACACATGAAATGCGTCGTTAAATCGTTGTCACAAATTTACACATGGAAATCATTTTGGCAGGATGGTCTGGAAATAGAATTATTTCTTCCCTTAAGGGGGAGGAGTTGTGTTATGCCCTTCAGGTGGAAGATTTTACTTGCTATTCTTATCGTAGCTCTCCTTTTCCCCTCGGGCATCTTACCCTGTCATCTTGACAGTACTGGAACTTCTTTTCTGTGTGTAGGAGGTGGGTTCTGAATCCGGATTTTTCGGGGAGGGCTGATCAAGGTTGGCCTGCCATGTTAATGAAACGAAGGCTTAACACTGATGGATGTCAATCCAAGTGAAGTTATGCTACAAGTCGTCCTGTATTTAACGTGTTTAATTCAACAACAATGTGTGCTGCAATGTGTCATGTATAGTTTGGACATGGGGTAGTCATTGAATGACAGGAATTCAATCAATGCAATTCACCATATGGTTAGGATTTGTTAAGTGCAACGCAGTTTTTGTCTATAGTTTTTTTTTAGTTTGGCCTGATATTGTTTGCAACGTCTCTTTTGCCTCGTCCCCTACATTAAGGACGTCTTAATCTCCTCGTGCAGGAACCATATTTGTGATTTTTATACCATTTTCCATTGCCTCCCTACAGTACTGCAGTACGGCTTGGAGTGTCTTTAGAGAGATGAGTGTATCAAGTTAGTTGCCTCCAGCTGTTTTTTTTCTGTCCATTGCAGTATGAATACTAAAGAGCCAGCAAGCAGGGATGTGCCAGAATACTGGTTTTACAACATTAAATGGAGGCATACTGACAAAAAACTGACAATAAACAAGGTATATTACCATCAATACTTTTGACTATGGCTATTCTCAGATGGCGCCCTAAACACGCCACAGTGTTCCTGCTTATGTTAGTAGTTATATCTTGATTTAGTTTTAAGGGTTGTATAATCTAGCTTTATAAAATAAAAATGAATGTCTTGGTATTTGCACTCTGGCTTTCACAAAGGAAATTCACTTCTTCATAATTGTGCACATTATCTTGTACCTCACAAGTTCGCTTTAAATGTGCCCAATTATACTTATCACATAATCTTGGGGGAAAGATTGTCTTCTATATCTCAATTCTAACATGTGTTTCACAATACCAGCACAACCCTAGTAAGCAACAAACCTTTGGAGGAATCTAACCATGTGAAGATATTTGAGTTGCAAAGGTTAGGAAGCTAATGAAATTAGTATTTATAGGTAATTGGAAACTGATTCTGTGAAAAAGAAATTCAAACTATGGTGTGAGACTCAAGGACAACACATGGGGATTAAGGAATTGTGATTTCTATTTAGAAAGATTTGCATTACCTTGCATCAAGTTTTGTGTTCCCTTTCCATTATCTTGCGTAATCTCACACTGCATTTTAAATACCCTGTGATCTAAAGAGAGCTGTGCTATTGTATAGGGTGAGTTTTATTATGATATAGTATCATTTATTATGTAGCGTGAGTATGGCCGGCTGTGCTTTGGTTGCTATGAACATGACTGCGACACAGTTTGTAATAGATGTTACACTAATGCAAGGTTGTATGTGTGCAACTCATTGAAATGGATGTGCTGGCTGAGCTTTGAAGCTGCTGGATTTCCGAACTCAGATCTGTCATGTCTGATATAAGCGCCACACGTTCAAATCCCTGTGGTAACAACCAGAAATGCAGCCGCAATTACAACACAACAACCACCAAAGATTTAGCTGAACACTGTGTACTACAAAACATGCACGTGTCTACTATGACAATGCAAAGTGTCTCACATCTGCTATCCTATCTGGAGTATCTGCAGAGCCATGTCCTGAACTCGCAGGGTGTCATAGCACGCCTCCTGTTGCTTTAAATTAGGAGACATTTTGGAAGCTCAGTTTGAGACGGAGCCTTGATTTATGTCCAGTCACAAAATATACGTTGAATCAAACAAACTGCAAAATGTATTTAAACATGATTAAACTAAAAGTAAAAAAAGCAGTGTCAAGTTAAAATCAATAGAAAGTATTATAAAGCAATTCATCACATGGAGGGAGGTTCATATTTGTAAATATGCTTAAATTGACATGAATAATTAAAGTCAATGCCTGCGTGCAAATTATTTGGCTGGGAGTGAGACTACTTCATATCCGTCACTATTAATCATTTAGACCAAAGACAAACAGCTATCTTCATTCTACTTCAAGCAAGCTGCTATATTCATTACAGGAAATGCAACAGCAAATCCAATATTCATCATGCTTGCAATGAATGCATGACTTTAAGGTGAGATTTACACCTAAAAAAAATATGAAATGGTATTTAAAATGACTTAAAATATAATTTGGATGAGTTTGAGTTGATAACACGTGAAAGTATAATATTTGCAATCAATGACTAACTTTCCCTCACTTTGCATCCATAATTTAATCAAGTTAAAAGCGTAGAAGGGCCGCTTTAATATAAACGCTGTGAGGCAGCATGTATGAATTATGACATAAAATGAAACTAGGAACTGGTTCATTAAGAATCCATCACTGTGCTGTAGTGTCAGTCAATACATTATCGGATGATGTATAGCTCTATTTTTTAACTCTGCTATATATATATATATATATATATATATATATATATATATATATATATACATAAACTCACTATTTATGGTATATATTAAGCAGCAATAGTACAAACATAACCCCTCAATTATGATAAATTATACAATGCAAACAAACTTGCTTTGGTTAGCTCGGTAGCCAAGAATATGTGATGTATTTTTCTTTTTCTTTCATTTTAGCCTGAATACAAGAGACTGTGAGCCTGTAGCGCCATGGTGCAGCCACAGCCTTCTCAGAAATGATCCAGTTGCTCCATGGCATCTTTGTCTTGCATAGCAGTATGCAGTCCAACCAATAATAGTACCGCACCATTTTCTCACATCCTGGATATTTTGAGTCATGAATGGTCCGATAGATTAAACTCTTTGATCCAACCTACTCTGCCTCTGATTGGATTGATCACGATATCCGTACTCTAACCACTGTCACTCCTCGTGCCTTGACCTAATCGACCCAATCAAAAGCGCCAACGAGTAATAGTCACAGTAGTCATGTCTCCTTCAAAGCAGGATTTCTAATTTAGCCGTCCAACGGAGCGTATGTGTGAGTGTGTGTTGGACGACTTGGAGCTAATCAAAGAAAGAAGACAAATGAGAAATATATTGACAAATATGAAACATTTTTGATGGCCAGTGAATCGGAGCACCCTCGTCACCTGATCGGAATGTAGTGAACCTCAGCAAAGCCTCAAACTCATATATGACATCAAAATAGATATATACCAGTCAGTTAACTGTTAATGGAGTTCACGCAATAAAATTCAAAATCGACCAAAACTGACTGACTGAATCTGCGCCGATCACTCGGGGTTTCCACATGCGTAGCTCGGGCAAATTGTCTCAGCAGCGGAGCCCGGCTGGCGTTAAAACCACAGGACACGTCAATGAACATTATTCTTCCAGAGCCCGTCCCAGTATGCACAGAGTAGCAGGTGGTCGACGCTATCATCCTCCCCATTGTGGGCCTTATGTAGGATCTGGAAAGGGATCTAAATGGCCCATCACAAGGGATCTGGCCTGCTGTCATTTAGAGCCCTGGTGTGTCCAATGGTGCCCGCTGGGGCCAGGCGGGATGTTTTTCACATCATCATCAGCACCCTGTGCGGCTCCACTGACAGGCTGAGGACGTGCTTGAAGGCCTCCCCGAGGTGGTTGGCACACACCTTGAAAAAACACTTGGGCTGATACTCTCTGGGCCTTCAGCTTTACATCAATTAGCTCATCCCCTGATCAGCTGCTGGAAGTTGCCCAGAGGAGGGGTGAATGTTGGAGCCCCTGTTGGTGATGGGGGGGCACTTCTCTCCAAATGGGATCAAAGCTTAATGACACTATATTGACTATAGACATGCATATGGGAAACTGAAAAATATGTATATATTTTAACACAGTTAACTAAGTAAAATTCATTTCATTAGATCTTAACATGAGTTTCAGACCAAGATGCAGCATTGTTTCAGATCCCCCGGCTGAGATATATCCACTATTTAAATAACGCTATTTTGTATATGTAAAGCAATGACAGACAAACACACACACAGACGAAATGAAAACAAATAAGTACTGCATCTGATGCAAACCTGTCTCACACAAGCAAGCAAATAAACACGCTGCTCTTATTTCCAGTGCCATCAGGCACCCTTGATGCATACGCCACAGAAGAAGAGGCGCATATACTGCGGCTCTTTGATAACACTTCAGAACAGACCTGTGCCAACTATGGCACCCCCCCCCACACACACACACACGCACATGGGTGTGTATCTTTCCTGTTTGTGACAGTTGACAACCGCTCATTTTCAAACCACTCATACGAATACTTCAGATTCCTTTTCCATTTATATAGCAACATCCCCCATACGTTTCATGTGGCAACTGGGAACTTGCGTATATATGCATTCTTTTTGCATAGAGTTGTCTAATATTCGGGACATTCCCAGCATCTGAGGCATGCAGTGCTAACACCATGGCACATCTTGCAGCAGAGCTCTTAAGCTGCAACTGCAGTAGGTGGTGAAAGATGTGTGCAATGACCTATCAAAAGAAAACTCCCACAGCCACATTTTCTTTTTAGACTGCAACGTGAAATACAAGAGTGAGCGAGATGCTTTGGGCATGTGAAAGCCTTAGCAGTAAGTTGCCTTGATGGACAGAAACAACAGAGCCATAAGTTGAAATGTATAATGGATGACATCCTCGCCGTGTATGCTTCAAGGAGCAACAATAAAAATGAAACCTCAACATCATCTCGGAGGAGACATTTCCCTGAAAGATGTCATTACTTTTTCACATCTTCGTATCCTCCCAGACATCCAATAATCAGTGACACAAACAGCACCTTTGCGGAACGTCGCTGATTAAATCCACTACTCATTTCCACCTCGACGTGGAGGTCATATATATCTACCCACCTCTCCCTGGGCATATGGTGGTTGGGGTTGTGGTGACAACGGATGCTGAGGCCAAAGAGCTTGCGGGCGGTGCGTTGGATCTTGAGCCGCTGGATCTCCAGGGAACTCTGCAGGAGCCTGTAGCGAGCCTGAAGGTCCCAGTCGCTGCCCCACAGGAGATGCACGCTGCTGATGGGCAGGAAGTGAGTGGAGGGCAGCCTCTTCAGGAAGGACTTGAACTCATCTGGATGACAGGGGGGGAAGGAGGGGGAGAGCAGATTGCAAAGTGAAGAGAGGTTGTTGAGAGCGAATGTGAAAAAAGGGAAAAAAAAGAGGAATTCATGTTATTTATTTTCTGTCTTAAATGAAGATGCTGGGTTAGATATTTCAGAATAATTCATTTTTGCAAGATTAAATAATCAGATCATTTGAATTAAAAAGGTTAAAGTAATTTATCATTATTCCAAAGCTTTCAAGCAGAAAGACCAGACGTAAGCAGCAGGTAAACTAAACTGATATTTGAACTAAGCTGAAATATTTGCCAAGCAAGCCTCAACATTTCTGATGTTTGTTCAAATTTGTTGAAATAGTAAAATTATCAGTGAACCAACTGTTGCGTCCCCATCCAAACAATAATGGATTTGTTTTAAGCAACAATTATTTGTTCAACCCTAATCCAGCCAGCATCCTGCATGGGTGGAATTACAAACAGCAAACTGTTTTAGACTGGTGACAAAAACCTGGGATCTGCTGTATTTCTTGAGGCTTTGAGACAAAAAACAAAACACATTCTCACTCAATTCACTTTTATCACCTGATGAGAAATAGTTTTTTTACTCTGCTGATTCCTGTTTTGAATCTGATGCGTAACTTGATTAACTGTTACGGTAAACTTAGGCAAAAGTAAACCAAGTAAAAGTTGGTGGTGTCATCAGGAGAGTCAAACATTTCCAGTTCATAAGACAACGACATCAAATGTTATGATTATGTGGGACTTTTGTTAAAGTCTATAGATTTTTAGGATATATTTAATCTCTTTGAGTCAATTGAGGACAATCATATTTTAGAGTGTTGGTCAGTCAGCACCCAGAACTCTCACCACTCTGTTTCATATGTTTGATGCATTTAATTTACTTTTTGATTTCTTTTGTTTTGAAGCATTTACAGAGAATTGAAACCCTAAACTCCGTATACACGATGTACTCCCACACTTTTGCTGATTAACAAAGCCCAAACCAATATGTGCGCACCAGTTTTAATCACTGCCCTCATGTTTCTGCTGTTGCTTCTGATGAATACTGCTTCTCTCCTCCCCAGACAATTGCGAACCCAGCTCTCTAACCCTTGTTTAAAGCACTAAGGGCATTATGATGTGACTCAAACTCAAGCATCAAATACATCAGAGCAGGGAATTCTTTACTTGTTGTGTTAATTAAGAAAATGACTAAGAGAAGCATATTTTCATCTCTGAAGATACATTTATGCTCATAATTAAAACAAAGATAACGATTTCATTCCTAAAATGTCTTCTTAGTAATGTCAACAGGAGAGAAGATAAACAAATTAAAATGATATGGCATGAATCTGAGGAACTGAACAGTATTATTGTGAAGAACAAATAATAGCACAGCTCCTTCACACTGAGTTCTAAAAGCAAAAAAAAAATCCCTGTACTAAACACCTGCGCAGTAACTAGTCACCTCCTACAGACCTGTCCAACACCGTTTAACAGCATTAGAGTTGAGAGCTCTTTTTAAGACCCGGTAGAGAAATGTCAGAACTTCCTCCACTCTCCTCCCAGCCATGTCTAAGCTCTCTTCCTCCCTTTTTCTTCAGAATCACAAGATTCATTCTCCACCCCTTTTTTGAGCTTGCCATATTCCCCCACCCAGTTTTCAGAGATGTCACCTACCTTTCCTTTTTTCTAGAGATTTCCTGAGCAGAAAATGTAATTATCGCTTCATCCTTTCATGCCAGTTCAGCACTTGCCAAGTCCGTCTAGACATGCTTCAAAGCCGTCAGAGATCTCTTCCTTGATACAGCTTCCAAGGAGTCCTTTCCCCTCATATGACCCTTGTCACAAAATGGCACCTTATCTAGAGTTTCAGCTCTCAGAATGTATACTCACTTTACCTGTATGTCATTATATGTAAATTTGTGGGGTCCAGGATATATTTTTTATACTATATTATGTCATTCTAATTTCAAGAATCATCGGCAGAAGCTCAGAAAAGGGTATGCAACTAAACTTGTGCATATATTTCTATAGCTAGTTGTCTGAGGATCAAATGTATTCCACATTTTATAAAATTATTGTGTACATGTCCAGCCAACGTAATCCCTTTTTGGATAGGTGCACAACGCACAATTGGAGCAATGTTGCTGCTGTATATTGGGAAGCTTGTGATATAATTTGCCATCAACCAAATCATCTATTTTCCAACCTTTAAAGAGGCAACTAACAGGGCTAGAAAAAGGTTATCCCAAGAGGAAATTATATTTTGCAGAGGAGGTGGTGGACATAATTGCAATGAGAAAACATAATCAAACCAATGACAAAGACATACTTTTGCACACTCTGCAAGAGTTATTGATTCCTTAATGTCTTCTACAGTATGAAATACATTTTTTTGTGTTTAACAGTGATATATTTATTGGTGCATTCTGTGTACTTTCATCTGCCTCTTCCTGCACTCAGTGGCCTCCATGACTCACATTAACTTCTTCTGTGGTACATAAATATATTTATCTGTTTCTGGCAGCTTTTATTGGGACACTTTTATATCATATTAATAATAGATAGACATGGTGACTTGCAATGTAACAGCTGGGAACTAGCTGTGCTTTCACCCCCACTGTGTCCAGTATTTTAAGCACCCACCTTTGTCTTCAATAAAAATAGGCAACTTCGTACCAGGCAGAATATTACTTTTCATGACCTTCAAAAGTTGTATTTTTGTGGTGATCCATCCTTTATACAAATAACACAAATTGTGATTATTATATTTGCCAAAAGAATTAATATTATGTGTGCACGCGTCCGTCCGCCCATGAATAAATAACGGTGCACCTGCGCATTGTGCACGGCTAATCTTCAAAATATTTTCTTTTTCAAGGAACTCTTGTGCTAGCGGTGAATCACACTTTCTCTCAAAAACAATTTGTATTGCCTGTTTCATACTGCTATTGACAGCCTGCCACCCCCCACACACACACACACACACTTCTTTTAACTGGCCTCTGGCCTGTAGGAGGCTGTGAGTGATCACACAGCTGAGTGCATTTCCAGAACTCCAGCAGCTACTCTGTGGGCCAGAGACACAGTGGAGGGAACCCATAGCCGGCATGTCAATAGGGAAAACAGCTTGCTCACTTGTATTGTCCAGGACAGCGGCTGAGGCTGAACAATAAAACAGACAACAGAACGAAACACAAAGCTGACTGCATCCCCGCTGCTCAGCCGCTTCTCAGAGACCACAGACAGTTATTCGGTGGCTTCTCCGTTGTGTTTCCACCTCACGTTCACATGTGTATTAAAGTTAAAACTAGACATCATGTCTAAATAATAAATAAATCGGTTCGTTGCAAGGAGGCCCGTCTATGTTCTTTCATCTGTTGCCCGTATTGGTTACCGTTAAGGAAAGAACGCTGGGATGGGAAATCAATGTTTACCATTGGTCTGAGGCAGGAAGCGAGTCCTTGGTGTCAAAACAAACAGAGACGTATTGTCCGTTCGTCCATGAACTACAAGCCCTCCAAAGCACTATGAACGTTTCACCCTACTTTCGACAGTCAACATAAGAGAACATACTGTTCTACCAATCATGTAGATCTGGCAGTGAATAACTGCCAAAATACGAAATCGTTTTTTGAATGATCTTTGATCGACAAGAGATTATGAGATTACCTTAATTGCCTGTGTGCCCATTAATATGCTCTTCGGATTTAAATTTGTCAAGAATTATTCCCTTGCAAAATGGCTACATAGCTTTAGCATAAATGCAATAATGCATTTATTCAATATCATCCTAACTGCCATGATGGGTGGAATCTTACCAGAGTTTTCAAAGTCTTTATAAGAGGATACCCAGGACTCAGACATCCCCAACAGAGTGTTCTCCATGATCTGGATGTCGGTGATGGGACAGTTGCATTGTGGGTAGTCGTCGGCACACTGACAGATGCACTGGTTGTTGCTGCACACATATTCTCCCTCGCCGTTGCACATGATGTAGCTCAGGGCCGACTGCACGAATTTCTCCTGCAGGTAATCTGGGAAAATGACCTGAAGACCTGAAACGAGATAAGTGGGTGGATCAAGTCCAACAGAGTGTGGGAGACACAAAAATTGACATTACAGTTGTCTTTCAATCTTTCTTGTGTTGAAAATCGTTGAATGTCCAGCCGTCATGCTTTTTATAACACAAAATTGCTTCAAACATATATACATATATTACAACTCATTAATAACAAAATCAATTTGCAACGGAACATGAATCTCTTTTTTTTAAATCATTTTTCTATAAAATGTACTGTGTTTAGAGTAAGAAGAGACATGGAAAAATTAGTCAGTTATTAAATCGACAGACGACATCTACACGGTTCAATACGCAGACATACTAAACACATATGTGATATAAAAGTTGGGGAAAAAACAGTTAAATGGATGGCTGCCCCTGCAGGATTGCTTTGTGTCAAAAGCTCATTTCTTTTTTGAAAGGCTGAGAGGCTCAAAAGCTCGACTGTGTTCAACTTGAGCTGCCCGTTCTGTGGCTGATCACTCAGGATGTGACAACGTATGGAAATGATTGATTGCGGTTTTCTGTGTTGATTTATTAAGCACAGGTTTTCACTTGGGAGGAATTTTCATTACATGCATTACTGTCTTCAACAAGTATTTCCTTTTTTCGTGGATGGTTTACACACCCCAATTTTGCATTATTCACCTCATTATGCGCTAATAGAAACATTTGTTTTGATCTAGAGGTCAATTTTGGGCTGAAGCTGAAAGCACCTCTTTGCTCTGAACATGGGCACGGTATTCATCCTCACCCTGGGTATCTCATAAAATAGAAGTGAGGATCAGCAAACAGTGAAGGCTTTCTCTGTAGTCCATCGCGGGGGGGGGGGAACCCATAGCTCCATGAGCCACTGGATTGGAAAAGGGCTAAATCGATTTTTTTCCTTTTTGTAGGGCACAGCATTATGTTGAGGCAATATTTCCTTAATAGGTTTTATTCCAGCACAAACAGTGCTTCAAGCTGAAAACATGCAACCAGGAACGAAAACATAACATGTTATTGAATGATAAATAATGTTTTTTTCCCCTGACGTATTATTTTCACTTTTAGGTAGAGATAGGAATCTATTTAAGCAATATATCTGAAATGAAAGGGAGAAAGACCCCTGTACATATGAATCATTGTGTGTGTGTGGGGGGGGATGTTGTCATAGCATTGAATCATATTTCTTACTGTGCATATGCGTGTGCATTTTGTATTTTTACTCACAACATACGCTAAACTGTAAACAGTGTGTAATTTAGAAGCACGCAAAGCTCTTAATAAATTGTGTCTGACATGAAGGACAATTTCCACATTCTATGTCATTGTAAAACCCCTTTGAAAAAAAACCCATTGCTGTTTGAATTGTCATCTTCATCCTTGTTAATTCTATAAACTATTTATTGATGCTAATTGTTTGATCATATTTATCAGGCGCGACGTTCTCGCTAGTGTTGTTTTCACCTTTTAAGTGTTTATATTTTGACAGGGCCGGAATTGTGCAAAAAATATATTCATGAAACATTACGAGTGGAAGTAGTAGGATCGCAAATGGGGGTGGAAAAGCTCCCCCACACATGCACACACACTTTAAGCCCCCTGGTCCAATTTGGTGTTGTGGCTGGTTTGATTTCATTCCCAAATGGTTATTTAGATTTTTCATACAATCATGTTCTCAGTTCAACCATATTCAACTATTTTATATTTTACACAACCTGTTCCTCTGTACCTCTACCTCTTTTTGGATTTCAGTAGGTTCCCTCTTCCTCTACAGAACCTCGTCAGAAGGACAGCCCATCAGTAATGAAGGGAACAGAAGGAAGGAGGGATGGAGGGATGGGGGGGCCAAAGGGGGATGATGGATCATATCTGACCACAAAAGAGTTGGGTTGCACAGGGATATTTTTCCATCAGGGCTGTCTGCGGCCCCTGGATCCAATATTCATTTAGCTTGATGTATTCCTGGGCCTGAAACTTTAATGTGATTTGTGGGAGAATCCAGATGGGAAGTTCACGGATCAACGCTGCTTACTGACAGTGCCGGTGCCAGCGGCCGGGTGCACAATAACAACGAGTGCTTCAACCCTCCCTTTTTCACCGATGATGTCTGACCATACGGCAGCACACTACCCCGCCCCCCTTCCTCCCCACACACACACACACACACACACGTTTCTTCTCATATCACGGTGTGGGTACCGATTGCAGAGGGAATTGTTGGGGATGCTGAGATTCAGTGCAGCACCGTCAGTCTTGCGATCTAATGTTTTTCACTTTCTTTTCCTCTCAATGTTTCTGTTCCTCCTCTTTCCATGCCGCTTTCCTTCCACCTCGTGCTCGGTCCGTGTAAACATCTCTTCTGTCTTACTTCATTACACTCACTCCTACTCCCGCCACACTCATGCACATGCCCCTTGACTTGTCCCCTATCATCCTTTGGCTTCCATTCACTCCATCAATCACTGTCCTCATTCCTGTTTCTTCACCTCTCTGGCTCTCCTCTACGCTCTCTCCCACCGAGCATGTGTTCAAGTACTGAAAATTTGATGTCTTGTCCTCCCACTCCAGTGGAGAAATGATGTCATGCAATGAAAGCACATCAATCAACATTTGTTAGTGCAGTGCGGAATGAGTAAGAGAATTGGAGCCCTCGGGCCAGAAATTAAATGAGAAACTAATCAGAGAAAAACATTTATCTTTGTGACTTTCCTGGCTTTGTTATTTTGGAGCAGTAGCACATTGATGAATGATTGGTCAATGAAGATTTGATATACGCGTTTATATGGCAGCTTTTTGTTGAGGAAAACACAGGATCTTGGAGCAAGGAGTTACACCTACCATCATTGAAAAGGTACTGATAAAACAAATGCATATTGGAATTCCCTGGCAGCCATTTGATAACCTCTAACTTCATGCTCTGTCAGTGCACATAATTCCCTGCAACCAGTATGCCTGGGTAGCTCTAAATAAATAGCACCTCAAAATGGCAGTTAATCTCAGTGCATACATAACAGGCTTATATATTTCCTACACGTACGTTGGAGAATGTTGGCCACCGCACATTCCATGAATGCAAAAAACGGACACTCTGCAACTGTGACTTTGCCTTTTCATTGCGCCTCTGTCGGGAGTGCTCTCTTTTTTACTGGGTGATATATAGTGGAGGCCGCAACTGAGGCTTGTAACTGCCTTGGCAAGCAGTTGGCTGCTTATTGCAATGCCACGCTCCACCTCATAAGTTTCACTTTCATTAAAGATTAATTGACCATTGTGTGACCGCAATTTCGCAAAATAATCATTACTTAATCCACTAGTGCAATAAAGTGCATTACTTGAATGGCGCATTAAATTACCATTGGAAGTTATTGTTGCAGCCATGATACGAAAGCAAAGACCTCTGAACTGGAAGATTGCCTCTTTCTCTGCACTTCTGCCCAGTCCGCCCTGCTGATCCATAGATACTTAGAAAACGGAAGGGGCACGTAGCCTTAAGATTTGCTGTGTTGGCCCATTTCACAAGAGAGGTGTTCTACCACCACTATAACATAAAGGTGCAGCTATTATCCACTTTTCATTTTTACTCTACATAAAGCAGTGTGTGTGTTTGGGCCTGACAGGGATCACATATTTCACTGGAGCTACTCTTAGCTCTCAGATTATGCTGGAATTTCTTAAAGTTCTGAATGAGGTGTACTTAGCATTCAAACGGATAATGTGTGTCTGTGCTGAGCAGATTATCGTAGATTACCATAAATGTTCTGGAAGGCAGTGTGGCCTGGCCTGTGTTTTTTGACGATTTTGTTTTAAGTATTTGTCCGTGAGAATAATTGCTGAGGACAATTTGATCAATATTCCCATCTAAAATATGTCCAAAGTGCACAATAAATGTTTTTGCAGAGTTCTTTAATTGGACATTTATATTTAAGCATGCATATAATTAAAAAGGCAAAACAGAAGTATCAAATCCCATTTTCTGGACATATTAACATACAAGTGCTTGCATATGCATATGTGGTACAAGCTGTATCTGTGTGGAACAGGAAAACTTGAAGAACACAATGCTTTTCCCCACAATACCTCTATATGACGTTGGCTTTGAAGTAACTCACTTATTCACATTGTTAACAGAAAAAGCACCAAGGATGGAGGTTCAGTAATCACATTAAAAGCATGAATTACAAAGAAAAAGGGCCTTGGCATTCAATGCTTGCTGCTACAGCCTCTTCAAAATAGGGACTTGCTGAAATTGCACATTGAAGCGGTTGCTGGTTTAAGGAGGGCAGGAAGTCTGGAGAGGTAGATGAGCTCTTCACAGTGCCCAGTTATTGCTAGTTGCTGCTGCACACAAGACACGGGGACACAACTTTTTTTTGTGTGTGAATAATGGCCTTGTGATATTGCAATTTAAATGTAATCATGTAAATTTAGTTTTGAAGGAATGAAAATACTCAAACATTTTCTGTTTTTGTTGGTTGCTCTTGGCTGGTAGTGCACTACAGTTCAAGCTGTTCCGCACGTACTACCGTGTGTCCCCGCGCAGCAGTATCAGTAGAGCCTCGGCTGGTGAGATATACTTGTGTCACACTATTAAATGCACACGCACGCGCACACGGAAACCGGTACACGTATAAGCACAAAACACACTCCTGCACAACTCGCATGTTTTACATGAACCCCGGAGAAGGGAAGCGTATGAGAAGCTCTGACATCCCATTTCTGCTACAAAAGACACAACTGTCCTCAAAGTGTCAAGACGTGGTGTCTAAACGTCTTGGATCAAAAGCCCAGATTCAACACAGAAATTACTTCAAGCATCCCTAAATACAGAAATGTTAATCTAGTTGTATTTGGAGCGATATATTTGCCATACACTTTGTAGGAACTGTTGGATGGTAACCCAATATTGAGAGCTTTTGTAGTTTATCTATCATGTTAGTTATTAGAGCTATATAACTGAAAGTGTGAATCAAAAGTAAGCAGGCATTCAATGTAAAACAGGTAATTAAAGAC